AGGAAGAGGAAGGGCCGGGCCGGGCGCACAAAGGCCGGGGGGTGGTGCGGCTGCCGGTCCGTCTGCCCGTCCGTCGGTCTGTCGGGGATGGGGCGGGGGGGGGGGGGGGGGGGGGGGCTGGCGGCGCTGGCCCTGCTAGCCCCGGGCCCGGCGGAGCGCAGCCGGCCCTACGCCGTGCTGCAGAAGCAGAACCTGGGTAAGGAGCGGCAGGGCGGCCGGCACCTTTCTGCTTGTTTTTCAGTGTTTGTTTGGTTGGGGGTTTTTTTGTTGGTTTTTTGTTGTTTTTTTTTTTAAAGCTGATTTGGGGGAAGCGTCGTGGGGGGCGCGTTCAAATCCTAACCTGCCTTCCTCCCTCCTCCCGCAGTGCTGCTGGGCAGCATCCTCAGCGCCCTGCTGCTCACCATCATCCTCATGGCCATCTGCGTCTACAAGCCGGTCCGGCGGCGGTAACCGAGCGGGACCCGGCGGGTCCGTCGTGGAGAAGCGCTGCTGGTCCCGCCTGGTTCTCCCGCCTGGCACCCAGCCGTCCCACCGCCTCCCCCGCCCGCGACCGGGGACACCCCGATGTTGCACGCACGGCTCTTCATCCGCGCAACATCGCGTGGTTCCATCGGGAACGGCTCTTCATCCGCGCGACGTCGGTGGCTCCATCGTGACGTCACTTTCGATGACAGTATGGCCGGGTGCTGGAAATCGCACCCCAGTCCTCTGCAAACTTGACCCCTGGACCTCCCGGGAATGCTTCCGCAGCAAACCCGGTTGGGTTTGAGCAGGGTCTGTAGCAACACACCTTCCTCCCAAAACGCAGTGTTTCAGCGAGGCTGATCCGACACCATGCACTCAAGAGCATCCCTGGGGCGTGTGTGTACCTGGAGCCTGGGGAGGCTGTGGGGAGCTCGACCAGCCGTGATGCCCGTTCCAGTCAGTGCCCGGGGAACCAAACCTCTGGGTCGGCACAAGAACCAAGCCAGACTACTGACATCGCTGTCTGACAAGCAGGCCCACGCACTTGATTACACCGTATCTAGTTTTGCTTTCTGATTAATTTGGTTCCTTGCTTGAATTGCTGAGTCTTGAGGGTTTGTAGTACAGCCTTCAAATACAGTCCAAAGGCAAAAGCTCAGCCACCTACCGCAGCTGTGGGGGTCTGGTACGTGCTTACCTCTGAGCAGAAATACTGATGCATGAACAGATCTGGCGTAGCTGTTCAGGGACAGGCTTGTCATTCCTCATGTTATTTGCTTTAACTCTTAGGTAACCCCAAGAAGTCTTGCACCAAAACTGCCATGCTGAACCTGTTCCAAACTGGGGAGTGGGCGAGGGTTTCCAGCTTGTGCTGAGCACTCCTCTCCTTGCAGGTGGATTTGTGCTCCCGAGCAGGTTGCTGTCCTACTGGAAACGGGAGCCTCCAAAAGTCTGCAAGCCAGGCAGATGCTCGAGACTGCTGGGCTCAGGCTCTCCGGAAGTTCGTTGTGCTTAAGCTCCAGACAGACCTGTTCTATGCATTTTCAGTAATGAATTCAAGGGTTTACACTGAAATCACACTTGCATATGAATGCTGCTATTTTGTTTTGCACTGCTATGAGTAGTAACTGGATTTTGCTTATTAAGTATTACTTTGGTATTTAATATAGGGATGTTTTGGCTAGTAATTTATTTAGTGTTTTAAAACTTAACTTCTAGAACAATTGTGTTGACTCATTCTCTAAAATGTTATGCTGCATCTGACATGTTTTCTGTTCGCTCTGTTTTAAAGGACACTGACCACTCTCATTGCTGCTGCTCTATTAGTTAAAGTGACAGTAGGAGGCTGGCCTAGAACGGATCTAGTTGCTAATCTAAGTGAAACAGAAGTGAGGAAGCAAGGTAATACTCTTCTATTGCTTTCTGGTCCTTTTCTTTTTGATCACTGGCCCTGTATCACTGATTTTTCTTGGCCCTTCATCTGATGTAAAACTTGGCCTATAGCTGTGTGCTGTTCACAGGAGGGTGAATGCTGTAGCTTGCAGCTACAGCTGAGTTCCCGGGAGCAGCACTCTTGTTTGCATTCATTCTTCACTGCCTGCTATGTCCCTTTGCACAAATAAAAAGCTAAGTAAACAACCCAGGACTCTCTTATTTATTCATGGATGTTCTGTTTGTTATTAAGTCAGCTGTATGAAGGGATGAGGCAGTCCCCTTTCCCACCTCCAATAATCTTACAGTTCTTACCCCTTTTCAATGGCAAGGGAACAGGGGCAGGACAGCAGTGTGATATTAACAGCTGGGTGAAGCCCCTGTTTTCATGAATGTTAATTAGCAAGGAACTGTTAACAGTAAACTGAAAATGAAAGCTCACCCTGCAAGCGTAGTGTAGTCCCCAGCAGACATTAAGAGGAAAAGTTCAGTTAACTCAGTTATGAAGACTATTTTGAATCTAAAGTCAGCCAAAGCAGTGTAAGGATTTCCAAATTAAGCACATCATGGATTATTGTTGTACATAGCCTACCTACTTGAAAAAAATATTCCAAAAGCACAAAAAATGTCCCCTGCTTAGCCTCACTTTCAGGAACAGATACAAACAGCAGTGACACTGTGGAAACAGCATCAATTTAAAGAATTTAAAAAGCTAGTTATAGTTTTAGAACAAACTACAGCTATTTGTAAATCTGAGCTTCTCCCTTCCTACATAAGCCTCAAACTTCCCTGGAAAGAGAAGTTGGACTCAGCTTTTATATAGCAGTCTCAGTGTCAGTATTACATGTACTATGCAACCCTTTGCTGCTGTTACAAGAAGGTACACACAGAAACTAATGCAGAGCACTGAAGTCCTGCCACCACCCTGCCTTTCATTGCCTTACAACTGTCTGTATTGTACTGATCCCTGTTTTCAGAACAGGGAGACTCAAAGGTTGGCTGAAAATGTCAGAAAAATGGTTCCAGGGATTTCAGAGTAAACCAGAACTATCCTTGATAGATGATAATGTCACCTTTAATGTACAAAAATGCAACAAAAAGGCAGATAAGGATAATTATTAAAGACTCCAGTTACCACCTTAGAAAAAACACACTTGTATGTGTAGTGTAACATTGTGCAGTATCTTTTGTTTTTTCCTGCAGCACACACAGAGGAGCAGAGGATACTTTTTATCCACATAGTGTAAGATGTAAGCTAGGGTTTAAAAAAAGCAGCACTTGCTTCAGGGAAGCTGGGCCTTCCAGTTTAGATGGAATGATGCAAATGTCACAGAAAGAAAAAAAAACCAACCAACCAACCAACCCAACCCAAAAGCCCACCACAGATTTTTTTTACAGTCCCAGACTAAGAAGCAGCGGCATAACAAAACTTGAATTGAAACTGCTCAATATTCTTTAGTTTGCAATATAAAAAACAGAGAACGAGACAGCTTTTTAAAAAAAAGATATTTCCCCCGCCGCGTAACCTTTGAAATGCTTAATAGAAAAAAACATCCACAGTGTCAGACAGATGGTTTTATAAAGGCAACAGCACTCTTTATTTCCGCTGGAGGAAAAAACCACAGTTTCATCTCCTACCTCACAACTTCGTCAAGAGCTTAATGCAAGGCTTATTCCCTTTTTTTCAACTGTGAAAGTCACAGTAATCCCCTTTTCAAAGAAAGATGCAATTCTGACATAGACCACTGCCACTGTGCAAGAAAGTCAACATTCCTGCAAACACCAAATAAGCTATTTAGGGATGCAAGCCGTATCATTAAACAAAAACAGTGCAGATATACCAGTTCTAGTGTACACTGAAGGAATTTTAATCATTTGCTATGTAGAACAATGGATTATTGGTTTAAAATAGGATTCCAAGTTACCAACCACCTCACTGGTTATGATCAAGTCCATGTTATAGTGATTTTATACTGGTTAATAGTTGGTCACACAGAACTGCCCTGTTTTGCCCAAGGAACAAGCGCAGGATTAGGTAGCAAGATCAGACCATATGTACCAGAGGATCTTCATGCTTCTGCCAGCCAGAACAGAGGAATATTGCTCACTTTTAACTACTGTAAGGCTTTCCCGTGGATATACATTGCATACTTGTGGAGTGCACTTGAGAGTCACAGTGTAAGTACTGTAAACACCGGCAGAAGTGCAGATAAAATAGCTACAAATATATTGTATGACGAAAGACCTGAGGAAAGCTAGTTAAAACATACTTGCAAATTGTTACAATACCATTTTTATGAGTGTAGTCATATTGGCTTGTTTTAAAATCAATAAAAATATTCAGATAAAAAAATATATGTATTCACATGAAGGATGAGCATTTGAATTTTAAAAAGCAACACACGTTTCCCTTTCAGATGACAGAATTAAAACTTATCTTTCAGTAAGTATACATTAAAATTTCACCTGATTTTTTTTTCTATTTGAATTTAGCACCCGCACACAGGCACGCACTCATGCACACACACCAAGTGATCACAAAGAAGCACCTGTATCTATCGCTTATTTTCTTGCTGCCCTCTGACTATGGGAACTAGCTGGTTTTGAATCACTGCAGAAACTGCTACTTTACTAGACAGATGGTCCCATTTTAGGATCTAAAATTCTACTGGCTACTTGTCCTTTTTCAGAAAGCACTAGTTTAATCTTGAGCTTGGATTAGCTGTTCAAGTATAAAATTATCCCTCTTAAGCAGGAGCACATGATAAAATATCAGTAACTAGAGAAGAGATAATCACAAATAAACAAAACTAACAGAATCTGTCAGCATGAAGCACTACCCTATGTGTGTATATGCATATAGATACTCTTCCATGTAATGACTGGAAAAAACAGACAATGGCTTTGGATTATTCAGAAATGACTAAGCAGATGAGTATTTCTTTGGTAAGTAATGACGTTTCCCTCCTGAATTCCCCATAAATCAAGTTTTCAAGCTTTACTGCAATCCTATATCCTGATGCTAAGCAAAATTTCTATCTGCTCTTCAATAAATACGTTTAGATAAAAACTTTTCCTTCAAAGCTAAGACCACATGGTTGGGGAGCCAAATGCAGAGTACCGTGATCTGAAACTCCCTCAAACAAAAATAAATCAGCTTTTTGTAGCTGATGATGCCAACTTAGAAGGCAGGTGAAATGTTTACTTAAGCAATCCAGGAGTGGTCTTCAGACTGATAGCTCTGAAAGCCTTCAGTTTTATGCAGATTTGGTCATCCTTATTTCAGAAGATGGCTAAGGAGTTATTTTTCCACAAGAGAAAGCTGTAAAACTTGCTGAAGCTCTGCATCTTCCGCTTCACGACGTTGCTTCTCCCGTTCCTCCTGCTCTCGGACAGATAACTCCATGGCAAGCTGCAAGTCTTTTTCAAAACTGGAAGGTTCACTAGGGGTGCTGCAGTGTGAGTTACCTGAGCTTGTTAGATAGCTCTCCTGCAGTGCCCTGAAGGAGAAAAAGAACTTTAAGAAGTAAGAGAGACAGAGCCTATTTCACATTTCCTGCAACAATCCTTCCTAGCAACTGTTTTCTAACTGCAAACCTGAAAATCTCTCCCCAGAGAGCAGAAAGCAGTTTTCAGGATAAGAGAGCAATTGTTCTAGCATCCATAAAATTCCCAGTGTAAAACCTGTTCTTTGAAGGTTCCTCAGAATCTTTCATATGTACTAACAGTTACATTTTCAATGGGCTTCTAAAAGCATTCT